CTAGATATAGATATTTACAGTCTCTTCTCCTAGATATAGATATTTACAGTCTCTTCTCCTAGATATTTACAGTTCCATACGAGCTCAGCCAGGACATATCTGAACCTAGACCGCCAGCAGGGATAATTTGAGCTTAGCGGGTAAATAAAAACTTAACAATAGTGCTCAGGATCTATTTTTTCGATACTATTAATCGTTCACAGACTTATAAATCAGGAACCACATCCGATCTAGGTCAGATATAATATTTTACCCTACCTTAACTTTGCTATGTTTAAAAAAACTGCCTCAAGAGACGTTTTAAATAAAAAGCAAGATGAATGCTTAAACTTAAGGATTTGGTTATTTATTTTCTCCCTATTTTGAACAATGATAAATGAAATGATAATTAAAGTATTGAAAATTAAATAATTAAAACTAAAAGCTTACACGGCGCTATTACATGACCTGGCCCATTTACAATTAGACAATGCTGTCGCCAAACCTCTAGAATATGTTCGGTGGCTGAATAGTGAATATGTATTTACTGGGATTTTTAAACCAGATACTATAGCTGAACCAGATACTATAGCTGAACCAGATACTATAGCTGAACCAGATACTATAGCTAAACCAGATACTATAGCTGAACCAGATACTATAGCTGAACTTTACCTTTCCGATCTTCCAAGTAACAAACAGTGGATACATATCAGTGCACGAAAATTGGGCCTGAACAGAATTTACTTTCATTATTGTTTATTGATTACTTAAATCATATTTACATTGAAAAAAAAACACAATTCAACAATTACATTTTTATTCAGTTTTCTGGCCACCCCCCTCCCTCTCCCCAAATTGAAAGATTCAAGCTACAAAGAAAAATATATGATTTTACAGGGAAATTTCTAGAAGTATTTTTTACCAAAAATAATTTACAAGTACTTGCATCTCTTCAAAGTAACCTTGAGATTTTACCATGAACGTTTTAACTAGACCTACACTTGAAGTATACCTGAGGAGCCTGGAGGTTGTTTAGATGTGAGTGGAGGACATCGAAACAGAAATAGCACATCTCGGGCTAAACAAATAATTGAAGGATATATATTGAATCCTCAAAGTCATTA